AATAATAATAATAATAATAATAATAACAATAATAATAATAATGATGATAAAATATTGTTATTATAATTCACCGACAACATCCACTAGTGAATTGAAAATACATGTCAATGCACTTGAATAAGTCATATTATCATTCTTCTGGTTAGTGATTATAACCGACAAGTACCACGTGGGTAAGAGCACTCGATCATTTTCTTCTGAGAGAAAACACTACACCATAGAAGAATAAAAGAACAACACACTTAAACATTTTTATAGTAAATAATATTCGGTCGTCTCCGTCCTTTGAAAAGGTGGAATTTCCCCTCGGTGTGCATGAAAGGCAAGCACAGAACTTTTAAAGACCAGAGGCGACTTTAAATGTTGTGATTAAACCATACTGCATTCAATGACGATAATATTATGGTCTGTCTTAATCGGCGGCCCAATTTGCAACCATTTGACCTTACACGCTTATCTTAATTGAGGCTATCTTCCTTCCGCAGTGTTTACGGCCGCAAAGAGATGCTATATTGCCATATTTATTATTAGGATCCAGCAGCAGTTATCGGGTGTACGATGAATTAAAATTGCACTTGATAAGATTTATTGGTTCTCCCCTTATCACCAAGCATGACATGTGTGCGATTGATAGGCCCATAACCCGGCGTTGGGATCACTGACATTGGTGTATCGATCTGGATGTATTATTCACGTGTTTCGAATACCATCATAACTGGATCGAGCTTATGAATAGGAGAAATCAGCACTGCGTGCCCTAAAGCAGAAACTACTCTAAATGTTTGTCTACAATGTCCATTTTCTTGTTTGGCGAATCGACATTATTATGCAACAGACTTGCATAATTTGTCCTGCCCATTATACCATACAACGCCAATATTCATACAGGAAGAGTAATGCATTTAACAGTTCCAAGACCAGTAGAACTTGCACATCATTAATTTGACTAGAATAGAAATATATTTTCAAAATATGCCATTCACATATACATATGTATGTCCGCGCGCGCGCGTTTATGTATGTTTGTGTGTGCCTGATATAATATAAATGTATGGGTATGTCTGTGCATCTCTCTCTCCCTCTCTCTCTCTCTCTCTCTCTCTCTCTGTGTGTGTGTGTGTGTGTGTGTGTGTGTGTGTGTC